ATTATAACAACCACGACCATGATTATAACAACCACGACTATGATTATAACAACCACCCGACCATGATTATAACAACCACGACTATGATTATAAATAACCACCACCATGATTATAAAAACCACGGCCATTAGATAACAACCACGGCCATGATTATAAATAACCACGAATATGATTATAACAACCACGACCATGATTATAACAACCACGACTATGATTATAACAACCATCACAATGATTATAAAACCACCACCATGATTATAAAAACTATGGCCACAGATTATAACAACTAATGATTATGATTATAAGAACTACGACCATGTTTATAACAACCACGACCATGATTATAACAAACTATGACCATGAGATTATAACAACTACGACCATGTTTTATACAACTAATGACCATGATTATACCAACCACGACTATGGATTATAAATAACCACGTACCATGATTATAACAACCACAAATATAGATTATAAATAACCACTTAATTCATGATTATAAATAACTAATGAATTACATTATAACAACTACTTAATTGGCGATTATAACAACCACGAATATGATTATAACAACCACGACCATGATTATAACAACCACGACCATGATTATAACAACCACGAATATGATTCTAACACCCACGACCATGATTATAACAACCACGACTATGATTATAACAACCACGACCATGATTATAACAACCACGACCATGATTATAACAACCACGACCATGATTATAACAACCACGATCATGATTATAACAACCACGACCATGATTATAACAAGCACGACCATGAAAATAACAAGCACGACCATGAATATAACAATCACGACCATGATTATAACAATCACGACCTTGATTATAACACTCATGACCATGATTATAACAACCACGACTATGATCATAACAACCACGACTATGATCATAACGACGACTATGATTATAATAACCACGACCATGATTGTAACAACCACGACCATGATTATAACAACCACGACCATGATTATAACAACCACGACCATGATTATAACAACCATGGCCATGATTATAACAACCATGACCATGATTATAACAACCACGACCATGATTATAACACTCACGACCATGATTATAACAACCACGACTATGATTATAACAACCACGACTATGATTATAACCACCACGACTATGATCATAACCAAAACTATGATTATAACAACCACGACCATGATTATAACAACCAGGACCATGATTATAACAAACACGACCATGATTATAACAACCACGACCATGATTATACCAACCACGACCATGATTATAACAACCACAACCATGATTATAACGTCCACGACTATGATTATAACAACCACGACTAAGATCATAACCACGACTATGATTATAACAACCTCGACCAAGATTATAACAAGCAAGACTATGATTATAACAACCACGACCATGAATATAACAACCACGAATATGATTATAACAACCACGAATATGATTATAACAACCACGACCATGATTATAATACTCACGACCAAGATTATAACAACCACGACCATGATTATAACAACCACGACTATGATTATAACAACCACGACCATGATTATAACAACCACGACTATGATTATAACAACCACCACCATGATTATAAAAACCACGGCCATGATTATAACAACCACGACCATGATTATAACAACCACGAATATGATTATAACACCCACGACCATGATTATAACAACCACGACTATGATTATAACAACCATCACCATGATTATAAAAACCACCACCATGATTATAAAAACCACGGCCATGATTATAACAACCACGACCATAATTATATCAACCACAAATATGATTATAACACCCACGACCATGATTATAACAACCACGACCATGATTATAACAACCACGACCATGATTATAACAAGCACGACCATGAAAATAACAAGCACGACCATGAATATAACAACCACGACCATGATTATAACAACCACGACCATGATTATAACAACCACGACCATGATTATAACACTCGCGACCATGATTATAACAACCACGATCATGATTATAACAACCACGACCATGATTATAACAACCACGAATATGATTATAACACCCACGACCATGATTATAACAACCACGACTATGATTATAACAACCATCACAATGATTATAAAAACCACCACCATGATTATAAAAACCACGGCCATGATTATAACAACCACGATTATGATTATAACAACCACGAATATGATTATAACAACCACGACCATGATTATAACAACCACGACCATGATTATAACAACCACGAATATGATTCTAACACCCACGACCATGATTATAACAACCACGACTATGATTATAACAACCACGACCATGATTATAACAACCACGACCATGAATATAACAACCACGACCATGATTATAACAACCACGATCATGATTACAACAACCACGACCATGATTATAACAAGCACGACCATGAAAATAACAAGCACGACCATGAATATAACAATCACGACCATGATTATGACAACCACGACCATGATTATAACACTCATGACCATGATTATAACAACCACGACTAGGATCATAACCACGACTATGATCATAACCACGACTATGATCATAACCACGACTATGATTATAACAACCACGACCATGATTATAACAATCACGACCATGATTATAACAACCACGACTATGATTATAACAACCACGACTATGATTATAACAGCCCCCACCATGATTATAACAACCACGACAGCCGTTATAACAACCACGAATATGATTATAACAACCGACCGTGATTATAACAACCACGACCATGATTATAACAACCTCGACCATGATTATAACGCCCCACCATGATTATAACAACCTCGACCATGATTATAACAAGCACGACCATGAAAATAACAAGCACGACCATGAATATAACAACCACGACCATTATTATAACAACCACGACCGCCGATTATAACCCTCATGACCATGATTATTACAACCACGACTATGATTATAACAACCACGACTATGATCATAACCACGACTATGATTATAATAACCACGACCATGATTGTAACAACCACGACCATGATTATAACAACCACGACCATGATTATACCACTCGCGACCATGATTATAACCACCACGACTATGATCATAACCACAACTATGATTATAACAACCACGACCATGATTATATCAACCACGACCATGATTATAACAACCACGACCATGATTATAACAACCATGACCATGGTTATAACAACCACGACCATTATTATAACAACCACGACTATGATTATAACAACCACGACTTTGATTATAACAGCCACGAACATGATTATAACAACCACGACCATGATTATAACAACCATGACCATGATTATAACAACCACGACCATGATTATAACAACCACAACCATCTGGAAAACGATGTCGCTCTCAGCTGGACGGTGGTTGCGCGCTAGCCAAGCACGAGCGTTCGAACTTTCACGCCTCGGTAAACTGTACCACAGGACTCGCCTCCGGGCACGAAGTGCCCATGATCACTTGTTTTTTCTAAAAACCAGTCCGGGAGGATACTCAGACTAGCAGCCTCGGTAAAGTTCGCCTGGATAGGCTGAATCAACTACTGAGGACATTAATAAAATAGAGCTATGAAGACTAACTCTGGCCTGCATGCTGAGAGTAATCAGAAAACCCAGGGCGGAAGGCCGAAAAGTTTCGTGAACGAACATGAGAAGAAGGAAAGGGATGGCAATATACTGTATATCATGGTATTCATTACTTGCACGTGTATAATTGGGACAAAGAAAAAAATTATATGTATTTATATATATATATATATATATATATATATATATATATATATATATATATATATATATATATATATATATATATGTAATCAACGACCTTACGAGCCAGGACTCGAACCCTAGACCTTAAGCAGTAGACCAGGGAACGCTACCGACCATATCACAAGGACACTAAAAGCAATCCTAGACTTTGTTATATTTCACACAAAGCCTGTTCATCGAGCTGATGGCGCCGTGAACCTCCCAATGGGGAAAGCCCGTGCCACTTATGTGGTGGGAGTAGCATTTTTCCGAATCCAGCTGGTATGAAACACGAGGTACCATATATATCTAATTTTTAGTCCATATAACATGCGGACTTGAACATATGCCACTCCCACTACATAAGTGGCACGGGCAATCCCCATTGGGAGGTTCACGGCGCCATCAGCTCAATGAACAGACTTTGTGTGAAATATAACAAAGTCTAGGATTGCTTTTAGTGACCTTGTGGCATGGTCGGTAGCATTCCCTGGTCTAGGGTTCGAGTCCTGGCTGGTGAGGTCTTTGATTATATGTTCAAGTCTGCGTAAAACAACGCCATTCACTAAGTGACTTGAAAGCAGAGGAAATAAGTCACTAAAGATCGACTGCCTTCCTAGAGATAGAAGACCAGCCATGGTCGCCATTCTTGGCCAGACAGTGTAAAAAATTGCCCCAAACTCAATATCTGAGAGACATAATCAAATTAGAAGTCACTCGATTTCCTCACCGTGCTAAGATGTATAAATACCAAAAATAAAATCCTCGTGGCACATAATATTTCAGCTATTACAACACAGATTAACGGGGCTTTCCTTGAGCGTGTTTACAGCTGATTCACTAGGCAAGAAGATGAAGATCATGAAGGTAGCTATGAGTGTGACGGGGAGTGCGGGAGGGGGTTTTGAGAATTGCAATTAAATGCCAGGTAGCGATGTGTCCTCCTAATATTAAGTATTTAAGTAATTATTAGATGTATTAATTGCCTGTATGTTTGCCTGGCGAGTTAATGCTAGGCATTTACATACGTATGTCTAAAGTTAGATGTCGCATTTTGAATTGAACAAAAAAAGTGAATACTGTATATGAATGAATATTAAACACTTTTCTCTTATACTGTATAATGTGTATATCAACAGGTTTACAATAACATAAACTGCAACTTACCTAATAACTCATTGTAGTATAAGTCAACCACATTTGCAAAATATTGAGGGAGGTGGCGCTGGAGCACAGTCAGAGTGGCATTAATATCCTCAAGGACTCCCACCACTGGATACCACTCCTCCACATTCTGCTTGGCAAGTTTCAGAGCTGCACCATTGTTTAGCTCTCTTTTCAGAAGAAGGATTAAATAAGTGGTCTTTAATTTACTTAGTGTTAAATCATAGTGAAGAGCAACTGATTCGACTATCTTGTGGTAACCTTCTATCCGAAATAAGCAAGTACAGTACCAAATTTGAATAACGAAGTGTCTGCCATACAATGGCTATAATCATGAATTGTGTTGTCAGATATGGTGAAGTCAAACAATCAAGTAAAACATTGCAGTACTGTGCAATTATGGGCAGAGCATCCATACACCTAAAAGCATAACTGACATTTTCACGGTATAGTACAGTACTATACAAGTATACTGTATATTATTACAGTTTGTATATTCTACCAACTTTTTCCGGACATGTATAGGTAATTCTCTGGCAGGTGATTTAAAAGAGTTCACAACTCTTCTTCCAAAAAGGTAAGCTCTGACAGTTTTAATTTTAATGCTAAAAGCTTCTTTAACTTGAGCTGTTGCCTCTAGTGGAATGGCCATCTTCTAACTCTATATATATGAACACTTGACTGAGAGACGCCCTTTGAGGTGCTCATAAACTTCTATTAAGTAACCCTTACCCTTCTGTAGTTTAAACTAAGCAGCTAAAGACATTCTAACATCTTCAGGTAAGTGAAGTGTCTAATTACCAGCCCAGTTTGATAGCTCTCCTCTGGAAAATTTAAAAAAATTGAGAAGTCTCGTTGACAAGCAGGATTACAGTCCCCTGCCTTAGCATCAACTGCCATAATCATCTACTGTACAGTATCTGCCAACCTTATAGTTCCTATTCTATCTGGTATTAAGTATGGTTTCTAAGTGCATATAAGCTGAAAATATATCAGTAATGTGAATCTCAAAATAGGGAATATATAGTAACAGAAAAAAATAACCGGTCATTACAAATTATCTCATTGTGTTCTTTGTGTGTGGAAAAAATTGAAAGGCTGAAGATGACTGACCTGCAGTATTCATGGTGGCCACAGAAGTAAGGGATGGTCAGGTCATAGTGGTGGCCAGTGAGGAAGTTACATTCTTCGCTGCCACTGAGGACACATTCCTCCAGGGTGGCATGGCGTGGCATAGGTGCTGGGTGGTAGTTAGGAGGGGTCATGGCACCAGGGCGAGGGGTCACACGGGCATAGTAGAACCTATGGTACATATATATATCACTGATAACTAAAGTGACATTATTTTTAGCTTATGAATATTCACATCAATGAAGTAAACATTTGAATCAGCAGATAAACAACCTTTTCATAATATTTTTTTTTTCAAAGAATATTTTCTTCCTCTCCACAATTTTATGCATAAGATACCCTATTATATAAAGCACAGTACTGTAGTTTGAATTAGAATGGAAACATATGAACATCACAGGATACTATATGTACGAGTACAGTATGTAGAATGTGACTAAATTATAAACTAATGATTCTAAAAACACAAAAATAGGGGCTCTGGGTCACTCGAATTACCGAAAAATCTGAATTAACAGAGTTCAGAATATTTTGACGTTATTCAACATTTTCTGAATTTTTGTGTTCGATTATTCGTTCGTTTTCTGTTCGTTTTTTGCAACATAATAATGTATTTAAAATACTGTGAAAATGTAATTATATTTTTAAACGTACAGTCGGGGTCAAAAGTCTTGAACACTTAGCAATATCTGGTGTCTACTTTTGAATTATACATATATGATTGGGATATACTAATAACACTTACTTGTCATCACATATTATGCCTGAACCACAAAATGTGATAAAACTCTCCTTAATACCTAAAATCTTCGGGTACTTTCATGCCAAATACTGTTAAGTGTTGAAGACTTTTGACCCCGACTGTACATACAGTAATAATAAAGTAAATAATACAGTAATAAATTGTAAATGTAACACTGCAAGATGATCTGATAGGCAAGGGCTGAGGTGACGTGGCAGGAGGTGGGGTGACATGAAAAGGCACTTAAGGAGGCGGCACACTAGGCACTTTCCTCCAAAAATATTGCCAGTTTTGCTGGCCATTGGCCTGAACGCCCAGCAAGCAGCAGGGTTTCGGCTGTTGCTAGAAATGGACAATGGTTAGGCGGGAATCTTTGCTGGCCACATTAGTGCTCAAATGAGCTTCATATAATTTCAAGTAAAAATTTAAGTAAATCATGAAACAATAATAATTTAAAATATAACACATAAACGGTGACATGTTTCTGTTTATTAATCAATTTAAAACTTCTTTAGTACAGTGATATCTCCGTTAGTTGGAGTAATTGGTGCAGAGCACTTCTGGGATTGAGAGATTTCCGGGTAACAAGATGACTCTCCTAAAGCTGAAAATAATCCCTCATCCAAAAATTTTCCTGAATTTTCTGGGTAACGGAAAAATGTTCTTAGAAGTTCCATAAATTTCCCATTACATCATCTCTTGAACCCGGAAAAATATCACCCATTCCCGGAATTTTCTGGGTGCTGGAAAATTTTCTCGAAATTTCCAGAAAATGCACCTGATTTTCATCTCTCAAATCTGAAAAAAACAATAAACAAAAACCTTCCCTTGAATTTTCCGGGAATCGGGAAAATTTTCTAGGAATTTTCTAGAAAATGTGCCCCTAGGAAAATCTGGGTTTGGGGGATTCTGGCTAACAGTGATATTACTGTATTATTAGATCATTATTCAGGGTCTTCTATGACCAGCCAGCCACCACCACTTTTAAAGAAACTTCACGAAGCACCCATGTCTTTTTTTTAGCTTTTGCAGATGCTTCACTTGCTTCAACAATTGAAAAACTATAGCACAATCCTGCAAGGCCTCAACTGTATTAACGTGATCCATGGCGAACCCTGTCAAGACACTTTGTTATTGTTTTCGTTGCATTGGGCAGATCCACCAACAAAACATCCCAGTGTGATGCAAAATGTTTCTTTGTTTGGCTGGCCAGACTGTGTTTACTAAACATGTTTTGAGAAAAGTGCCCAGTGTGCTGCCACATTAACACAGCACACACATTAACAACACTACTAAACCGCTGTCTTATAATATTTAATTTCAAATCTCAAATTTAAAATTAATTGATACATTGATGGCTCGATTTGGCTACTTTTACACTTAGACAACTGATCAATGAATAAACCAGGGCATATGGAAATGCATTGTACACTACAATAATATTGATTAAGTTCTGATAAATATGCTACAATATTATTTACTAAGTGCTCAAGACAGATCCTGTGGTAAGTACTGACCCTCTTGAGCAGTTAAAACAACAGAGCGTAGGGTCGTTCGTGTCGTGTAGCATCTCTGTAACGAAGTGTTGGCACTCGGGCCTCATTATTGAGAGCCGGAAATTGGACATTGATCACATAAGACCATCAAGATCGTCTTAGTGATGTAAATATGTAAATCAATGTGGGATTTTTAAGGTTATTCACAATTATATATTGAAAACCACTCTCTACTGACCAGAGGAATAGGCCGAGAGTTATACAATCGCAAAATCATTGCTATATGAGAAGATTTATCCAGAAAATTTAAAATGAGATGCGTGTATAGCTGTGATTGACAATCCAAAGGCTGATCAGAGAGTGTAGTATTGTGCCTTTAGCTAAGGCGACAAGTAATCAGGCACCACCGCTGGTAGTAACCAAGTCATATTATTGGTGCCACAAAAAAAGTTTTTCTTTTGTGTGTGAGTTTTCTCAGGTACTGAAATTGTACTTATGATCCACAATTCATAGGGAGATACAGTGTACACAGTGATAGCATATAGAGAATATACATTGAGGAGAATTGGAAGAGAACTTAAGTAAATAATAGCTAAAAAGGGAGAAAAAAAAACAAGCCGAGGTTGTCTCGAACGGCATTTATTGCTGTCACAAAGAAAGTTTTTTTTTCTCTGTGTTTTCTAAAGGATTGTTACTGTGCTTATGATCCACCATTCCTAGCGAGATACAGTGTACATAAGGAAAGCACAGAGATACAAGCAACTTGTCGAGGTGACCTGGAAAAAATTAAAAACAACTCAAACTGTCTTGGACAGCAACACTGGACGAACGAGGATGCCAGCAGGTCAAGGCTAGCAGCAGGGCAGCTAAGTGATTTTTTTTTTAAATAATATTATTGTGCCACAAGGGCATGATCACTCACACATCATAGTTCACTTAAATTACAATTAGTTGATGTGATTATAAAGGAAGTCATCCCAGCGAGGGGTAAATTTCTTCGTCACAAGAAATTAAGTGTGAAAGTCCAGTGGTTGGCACCTGACAAAGAGGCCTATGTATGAGGGCAGGAGGCTTTAAGGGGACCTTGACACTAAAGCCCTGCCACCAAGACACAGAAGAAATTATCTTAGTAATAATAAAGATTAATATTATTATTATTAAGCCAATGATTAGAATTATATCACATTGTAACTGGGGTTAAGGCTGAGAAAATTTGTACAGAGTCTGCACACCCCCAACCTCCCCAACAGCAACAGTCATGAGGCATCAGGAATCAGGGGCTCAAACCCCAGCATCACCAGGAAGTCTGTTGACATGTAATTACTGCAGGGTGAAGTCTAATGTAAATTGTGCGGGCTTGGGCTATACAGAGTTCAGGGTGATACATAATGTCATTAAGCATGAAGGCTGTTGCTTGTATTGCCCAGACTGCAAAGTCAAAGTAAACGAAGCGATTGCAAATGAGATTCCTAGGAACGGAAGTAGATGAAACTGGATCCTTGCTGGTTGCCAAACTAGATCATGTTGGGAAAAAGATCCTCACTAAGACTGACGAAGTGGCGGATAGAATGGAGGGAGTAGTGAAGAAGAGTTATGCTCAGGCTTTAGCAGGGCCACGGGAGGTGGCGGAGAGGAATGCAGGACCTGAACAGGTTCTACAGCAGCTGGGGATTCTGAAGAAGTGTGTTGAAGAGATGGCAACTAGCAGACCTACTGTTAGGGGAGGGGAGGAACAAGGGGAATATTTCGAGCGCAGGAACAACTTAATAGTTTTTGGAGTCCCTGACAGCCAGTTCGAGGAAGCTGAGAATAGGAAAACACATGGTAAATTGCATTTTGAAAATATTTGTACAGAGGCTCTGAATATGTAAGCCCCCCCTCCCCCTTCAGGATGTGAGAAGACTAGGACGAAAGCAGGAGGACAAGCCTCGATCCCTCAGGATCACACTGGTGAGTGAGGATAAGAAATGGGAAGTTTTTGAGGGACTTTTTTAACTATGTCGACATCGACTGGAGAAATGAGACCAAGCCAAATGACCTAAATAACTCCGCTACTCTTTTTGTAGAAACTCTGAGATAATTTTCTGTTCCAACATGTTAAAAATAGGGGAGCAAGCACCACTGGACATCATCATAACAAATGAGGAGGGTATGGTGGCCAAGTTGGAACACCTAGCCCACATTGGCACCAGCCACCACGGAACGGTGTCCTTCAGATTTAACTGTTACTTGGTTCACGACAAAACCAGGCCAAGGTTAATATATTGCAATGGAAATTTCGACGGGATTAGGGATATCCACTGGCCTGACTCAACAAGGTATAAGAATGCAGACACTATGCTGAATATTATAGCCAGTAAAGTGAACCATTTGATCTCTCTCTCTCTCTCTCTCTCTCTCTATATATATATATATATATATATATATATATATATATATATATATATATATATATATATATATATATATATATATATATATATATATATATATATATACACACACACATATAATCAATGACCTCACCAGCCAGGACTCGAACCCTAGACTTTATGCATGTGACCAGGGAACGCAACCAACCATGCCACAAGGACACTAAAAGCAATTCTAGACTATGTTATATTTCACACAAAGGGCAATACCCAATGGGAGGCTCACGGCGCCATCAGCTCGATGAACAGGCTTTGTTTGAAATATAACATAGTCTAAAATTGTTTTTAGTGTCCTTGTGGCATGGTCGGTAGGGTTTCCTGGTCACAGGCATAAGGTCTAGGGTTCGAGTCCTGGCTGGTAAGGTCGTTGATTTTATATATATATATATATATATATATATATATATATATATATATATATATATATATATATATATATATATATATATATATATATATATATATAGAGAGAGAGAGAGAGAGAGAGATAACCAAACCCAG